ACTCTAAGTCCATTAAGTTCACAAAGAGTGTTGAGTACAATCCTAAGTGGGGGGAAAATGTGGGAATTTTCCAGAGTTACCCAGAGGAGGATGAAGGTGATGTCAAAGAAGCAGCTAAAGCTGAGGAAGCTGCTGAGGATGATGATGAGGATGATGATCAGAGTTCGGATTCCAGTTCAGTGGGCGGCGCTGCTGCTGATGTCGGTGATAGTGATGACACAGCAGACTACAAGAGCGCAAAGGCCTCAGTCAGACCATCTGATGCGTCTGACAATGAACTGGAAGAACCACTGTTCACCATTGGTCACTTTTCTCCTAAGAAAGAGGAGATGAGTCCAGAAGACTTGCGTCTAGTACGCAGATCTGAGAGAGCGACCAAGGGCAGACCTCCAAAGAGATTTGCTGATGAGTTTGCTAAGACAGCAACTGCTGTTCTTAGTAGCTCAGAGAAGGTATGGGAACCTTCAAGCTTCAAAGAGGTTCAGGAGTTAACCTCTAAAGATGCTGAGCCTTGGCTTAATGCCATGAAGGCTGAAGTTGATTCCTTGAATAGGAACCAAACTTGGGAATTGGTACCGGTAGTCCCAGGAATGAGACTGGTTGGCAGCAAATGGGTCTTCAAGGCCAAGACAGACCAGAATGGCAAGGTTGTCAGACACAAAGCCAGATTGGTTGCCAGAGGTTTTCACAGGTACCAGGACAGGATTACCACGAGACCTACTCACCCACCGTCAAATATGAGAGCATTCGGCTGATGCTCAAGATAGCTGCAGAGGAGAAACTGCATGTTTCCCATCATGACATTAATACAGCTTTTGTACGGGATTCTGGGGGAGGAGCTGTTTATGCTTCCACCTGACGGGATGCAGATACAGAAGGGAATGGTCTGTAAACTGCGGAAATCCTTATATGGTCTCAAGCAGAGTGCCAGGTGTTGGAACACAAAGCTCACTGAGACATTGCTTTCTCTAGGTTTTCACCAGGGCAAAGCTGATCCATGTGTGTTTGTCAAGGAGGAGGGCAAAACAAACTGTATTGTTTATGTTTTGTTGATGATCTTCTGATGTTTTGGAAGAATCAGGCTTTGTACCAAAGCACCCTAGCTCAGCTGAAGGAGCACTTTGACATGAAGGATCTTGGTGAGGTATCCAACTATCTTTCTCTGCAGGTGGAGAGGGACCAAGCAGGTAATTTTCTGGTACACCAAACACAGAAAATTGCTGATGTATTAACCAGGTTGAATTTGGTTGATGCAAACCCAGCAGACACACCGATGGTGACAGGTTACCAGGTAGACAGTACTGCTGAAGCGTTTTCTGACACAACGCTGTACAGATGCATTCTAGGCAAGTTGAATTTCATTGCTAGATGCTCAAGACCTGACATAGCTGTAAGCTGTAACCTGCTTAGCAGACGTGCTAACAATCCTACTGTTCAGGATTGGAAAGCTCTGAAGCGCATAGCCCGCTATTTGAAAGGGACTTTGCACTACAGGCTGAGGTTCACCAGTCAGAAGACTGGAGGTCTTGAAATCTTTGCAGATGCAAGTTTTGGAAGTGACACCACAGATGGTACAAGCACTTCTGGAGTATGCTACATGTACAACCACTGTCTGTTTGACTGGTTGTGCAAGAAGCAGGCGACAGTGAGCCTAAGTTCCTGTGAAGCAGAACTCAATGCTCTGTCATTTTCACTCATGGATTGTGAATGGTTGATGCAACTGTTTAAGGACATCGGAGTTTCTGTGAAATGTCCTGTACAAGTGTATCAAGACAATAGATCGTGTTTGGCTTTGCTGAACTCGGAGAGTTGCAAGCAAAGGACCAAGTACTTGCAGATTAAGCTACATCGTGCAAGAGAGTGTATTCAGAAAGGACTCATTCAGGTGTCCTACATGCCAGGAAATGAAATTCCTGCTGATCTGTTGTCTAAGGTTGTTAACAGAGAACAACTTAAGGTTTATGTACAAAGGTTGCAATTGGGTTGAACCACAGGTACTACAGGTTACACGGAAAGGGGAGGATGTTAGGATATTTCCGTTCCACCTTAAAGGGAGCAGGCTTTGTGAGTCAGAGTCTGCGTATTTCCTGTTCACAGGATGTTTATGTTTTCTGTTGCTTTTGTTTTCTCTCTAGTGTCGCAGACACTAAAGCAGTCGGTCATGTTTTTCTGTGTACTGATTAACGCTGAATAAACTTGTAAATAATGCTCTCCTGGGTGCAACTTTTGCTGTGACTATCTGCTGATAGAGTGTGCATGAGCTCTAGAATGTGGCAAGATATTTTCTAGAAACTCATGTCGCTGCGTGCCTACGGGAGACTGAGATGGATCGTCCGGCAGACGGCTTGGGGGCCTTGATGGACTTTATCTCCCTGGCAGTATCCCAACAGACCATGGCACTTCTTTCGTTTCACTTTTACTTAGTGTCAGATCACCCACGTCACTAGAGGTGAACACCAGGTCTAAGGCATGTCCATGACTATGAGTTGGGCCAAACTTATTCAGGGACAGCCCCATGGAGGCCATGCTTTCCACGAAGTCCCGAGCGGCCCCTTGTAAGGTTGTGTTGGCATGGATGTTAAAATCCCCTAGGACAACCAGACTAGGTGTCTCCAGGAGAACATCCGCCACGACCTGAAGCAGCTCGGACAGGGAATCCTTGGTGCAGCGGGGAGGTCGGTACACCAAAAGGAATCCTGTACTGCCCCTATTGCCCAACTTCCAGAACATGCACTCAGAAAACTGGGTCTTCCCAGTAGGACGCCTGATGCAAGCTAATGACTTCCTAAAAATCACTGCAACCCCCCCTCCCTGCCCACATGACCTGGGTTGCTGTGCGTAAGAAAAACCTGGTGGGCAAGCGGAAGCAAGGACAGGCCCAACTGCAAACTCCAACCAGCTCACTGACACACAAGCCAGGTCAAATCCTCCATCCACAATCAGGTCGTGGATGGCAGTGGTTTTACTCATCATTGACCTGGCATTACACAGCAACACCTTCAGGTCATGTGGGTTTCCCCTGTTGATTTCAGTATCCATCCGGTCAAGGCCAGACCCAGAGGCAGGGATAGTCTTCAAACAATGACTAAACCTGCCTCCTCGGTAATGACATGGTCTGGGCTTAGCGTAACTCCTCCTCCTGCCCATGATCACCGAGATCGGATGTCCCAGTGCTTCCCCCCCCCCCCCCGTGGAACTTGTCCCAGCCATCGTGTTGGCTGGGGCCCCACTCCCAGGCAGCCCTAATCCCGCCCCTTAAAAACAAAACACAAACTATACAGAACCAATAAAACAACAAAAAAACAAAAACAGAACAATTATACTAAAATTAATCCCCAATCAAATATCCATCCCACCCACCCCAACAAAGGAAAAAAGGAAAAAAAGAAATAAAAATTTAAATTGCCACCGACTGCTTGAGGACATTTTAAAACACATTAACCACTTGGAACAGGGAAGCAATGGCAGAACACTTCCCACACTTCCCCAAAAGTTTGTTCCAAATAAGGGCCTGGGCCACGCCCCCTGGGCCAGTTGGAAAAGGCCCTGGAAGAGTGAGGGCCTGGGCCACGCCCCCTGGGCCAGTTGGAAAAGGCCCTGGAAGGGAGCAGGCCCTGCAGTCCTCACCCAGCCGATGGTCCGAGGCTTCCCCGCAACAGGAGTCCCTTTATAGCTGAGAGAGAGGGCCTGGGCCACGCCCCCTGGGCCAGTTGGAAAAGGCCCTGGAAGGGAGCAGGCCCTGCAGTCCTCACCCAGCCGATGGTCCGAGGCTTCCCCGCAACAGGAGTCCCTTTATAGCTGGGAGAGAGGGCCTGGGCTACGCCCCCTGGGCCAGTTGGAAAAGGCCCTGGAAGGGAGCAGGCCCTGCAGTCCTCACCCAGCCGATGGTCCGAGGCTTCCCCGCAACAGGAGTCCCTTTATAGCTGGGAGAGAGGGCCTGGGCTACGCCCCCTGGGCCAGTTGGAAAAGGCCCTGGAAGGGAGCAGGCCCTGCAGTCCTCCCCACAGCCGATAATAAATGTTGATAATTTTCTGTTTAAGTGACATTATAGTCCAAAGGCTATTCATGTGTGCTAAAACTCAGTCTTAAGTTTTTTCTTTTAAAGAAAATCGTTTAACCACATCAGTTAACCAACATGGATACATATAAATAATAATAATAAAAATAAATTTTTATTTATATCCCGCCCTCCCCAGCCGAAGCCGGGCTCAGGGCGGCTAACAACAATAAAATAATACAACATTCTAAAATCATTTCATTATAAAATTAATTCAAATCAAATTGATGGCAACCATTGGGCTAGAGATTGCCAAAGGAGGGAGTCAGGCTGTGCCCTGGCCAAAGGCCTGGTGGAACAGCTCCGTCTTGCAGGCCCTGCGGAAAGATGTCAAGTCACGCAGGGCCCCTGTCTCTTGTGACAGAGCGTTCCACCAGATAGGAGCCATAGCCGAAAAAGCCCTGGCTCTGGTTGAGGCCAGCCTAACCTCTCTGTGGCCTGGGACCTCCAAGATGTTTTTGTTTGAAGACCGCAAGTTCCTCTGTGGGACATACCAGGAGAGGCGGTCCCGTAGGTACGAGGGTCCTAGGCCGTATAGGGCTTTAAAGGTTAAAACCAGACCTTAAACCTGATCCTGTACTCCATCGGGAGCCAGTGCAGCTGGTATAGCACCGGGTGAATGTGATCTCGCAGCGAGGACCCCGTAAGGAGTCTTGCCGTGGCATTCTGCACCCGCTGGAGTTGCTGGGTCAGTCTCAAGGGCAGCCCCACGTAGAGCGAGTTACAATAATCCAGTCTGGAGGTGACCATTGCGTGGATCAAAGTGGCTAGGTCAGGGCGAGAGAGGTAAGGAGCCAACTGCTTAGCTTGGCGGAGATGAAAAAATGCCGCCTTTGTTATAGCTGCAATCTGCGCCTCCATGGAAAGGGAGGTGTTGAAGATTACACCCAAGCTCTTAACGGACGGTGCTGGCACTAACTGCACCCCCGCAAGAGATGGGAGTTGCCCCCTCAATCCCATATCGTCCCGTCCCAGCCAGAGGACCTCTGTCTTCGAAGGATTTAACTTTAACCTGCTCCCACGTAACCATCCAGCCACAGCTTCCAAACATCTGATCAGTGTGTCTGGGGCCGAGTCAGGATGGCCATCCATCAACAGATAGAGTTGGATGTCATCAGCATACTGATGGCAGCCCAACCCAAAACTCCAGACAAGCTGGGCGAGGGGTCGCTTAAAGATGTTGAAAAGCATCAGGGAGAGTATTGCACCCTGAGGCACTCCACACACCAAGGAGTGGCGTGATGACAGTTCCCCTCCAAGCACCACCCTCTGTCCCCGACCAGAGAGAAACGAGTGCAGCCATTGAAGGACTGTGCCCTGGATCCCCACGTCGGCAAGGCGGTGGTCCAGGAGTTCGTGATCGACCATGTTGAAGGCTGCTGACAGGTCTAGAAGAATCAGCAGCCACGACCCGCCTCGATCCAGCTGCCTGCGGAGATCATCTGTTAGGGCAACCAGAGCCGTCTAGGTCCCATGACCAGCGCGGAAGCCGGATTGGAATGGATCCAGAGCTGATGTTTCATCCAGAAACCCACCAAGCTGTTCAGCAACCGCTCTCTCAATCACCTTACCCAGGAACGGAAGATTCGAAACCAGGCGGTAATTGGATAGATCTAAATGATCTAATGATGTTTTCTTTAAGAGCAGGCGCACCACTGCCTCCTTCAGTTCCCCTGGGAATGTCCCGGTGCCAAGGGAGAAATTGATAATATCCCCTAGGGGGGTCCGCACCTCGTCTGGACATGCTTTAATCAGCCAGGACGGGCACGTGTCAAGAGGACAGGTGGTGGGCTTTCCAGCTCGGAGGAGTCTGTCCACATCGGCTGGGGATATCCGGTCAAAGTGGTCCAATATTGGATCCGAGGACAGTCAAGGGGCCTCCAGTTCTGTTATTGTATCCAAATTGGCAGGGAGGTCACGGTCACGGTGGAGCAACAGGACCTTCTCCGCAAAAAAGCTCGCAAATGCCTCACAGCTGTGTATCAAATTATTATTTAAATTTGGCTGTCCCTCCAGGGATGTTAAAGACCTAATTATACTAAATAATTGCTCCGGGCGAGAGCTAGCGGATGCAATGGAGGCCAAGAAGTAAGACTTCTTAGCGGCCTTCACTGCCATCTCGTAGGTTTTCATAAAAACCCTGTAAGATGTTCTTGAGGCTCCATTGCGGGCACCCTGCCACACTCGCTCTAGCCGTCTGAGGTTCCGCTTCCGGAGCCCGGTTTCTGCGGGGTCGCAGAGGGCGCTTAGGTGCGCTCTCATCAATGGCTGCCAGGAGCTGGGTATTCCAGCCCTCAAGAAGCTCAGTCAATGAGTCACCAGGGGGAGCAAGGTCCCACAAGGCTTGACGGAATCTATAAGGGTCCATCAGCCTCTGCAGGCGAGCCCAAATCGGCTCGTCACCTAAGCAGGGTGGGGGTGGAAAGTCAATCCTGGCTTTCAGAGCGTAGTGATCAGACCATGGCACCTTCATCGAAGGAGACATGATCACATCTATACCTACACCAAAGATCAAATCCAGCATGTGGCCTGCTTGATGTGTGGGGCCCGAAACAAACTGGGAGAGCCCTAGTGTTGCCATGGAAGACACCAGGTCCAGAGCCTGTGAGGAGGGAGTGGCATCAGCATGGATGTTGAAGTCCCCCAATACCAATAGGTTAGGAAACTCCAAGGCCCAGCTGGCCACTGCCTCCAGTAGGCCTGACAAGGTGGCTGCTGGTGCGCTACGTGGCCAGTACACCGGCCAGACAGCCAAGCTCTCCTCACACTAGGCCAACACATTCAATGCTGGGGATCGATTGCGATGGTAGAGCCCTGAAAGAAGAATCTTCCCGGATTAATAATGCCACCCCTCTATCCCCCCCAGGCCCACAGTCCGCGACTGGTGGAGGACGGAGAAACCCGGGGGCGCCATCTCTCGTAAGTTAACTATTTCCCCTTCGCACACCCAGGTCTCCATCACACAAGCCAGGTCGACCCCCTGCAAGGTAAAGAAATCTTGCAGGGTGGTGGTTTTGTTGCCTATAGACCTGGCATTGCACAGCACCAGTGACGGAGGTGAGTGTCAGCATCGCCCTAGAGCCAGTGCCACCAACTGGACTCATCCACTTCAGCCCCGACTGGGCTAGGCGAGCTGGGTAGCACTTCCAGAGACCACCTTCTGCACAGGAACAGGTCAAAGTGCTGTGGACTCACAGCTTAGAGTTGTGAGCACCAGATTCACTTCCACAAGAAGACAGTCGTCGCACAGCAGAGTACAGCAGACTCTAGCAGAGTATATAAACAACTCGGAGAGCAGCTCTGTAGAATATCTTCTTTATTCTATCTACAACTATTATACAACTATATACAGAGCTAAATAGGTCTAAGCATAAATGAATGCTGCACTGCACTGAGTGTCTGCAGCTGCTCTTAGCAGCAACCTTATCTCTACACACGATCTCTAACACTCAGTCTCTCTCTCTCTCTCTCTCCGACACTGACTGACTGACTGACTGACTCGGTGCTGGAGCAGAATAAGTAGAGAGCAGAACACGCCTCCTCCTCTCTGGAGAATCAGCAGACTCCTCAGGAGATTCTTGGATATGGGAGGGGTGAAATCTCCTCAGTGAGTAATCCTTGCTCACCCTACCCTCGTCCCTCGGGATGGGGCGCAGATTGGAAGGGGTACGAGCATATCCGTATCTCGATCCCCTTCGCCTATGACATCTGCCCCCACCGCCATACCTCCCTCGCCCCTCCACGGTAGCAATCCCAAGCCTCATACTAGCCTCTATTGATGGCAATTGATGTTATTCTTTCCCAGCCTAGTTGTTCTGCTTATAGTATCAACAACTCGATAACTCTAATTAGTCGAGTAGAACAAGCCAGCTAAACATCAGCTACCTCTCTGATTATATGAAACTATTATATTCTTTGTCAGCCTACTATTATAATATTAGACAAACCAATTAATTAAATTAAAAAATAAACCCCAAAACATTCCACAGCTAAACAGAACTACCATATAACGTACACAAAGAAAGAAAAAACACCTAAATAACAGGAGAACAACAATCAAGCATCTAACAGTAAGCAAGCAAAAACTTAAATATTATCATGAAACAATGGACAAATATTATCATGAAACAAAGGACTAAAACAAATGGCAAAGGAAGGGGGGAGGGGGAAAAGGGGGGAAATGGTTCTTGTAGCAGACGAAGTTCTTGTAGCAACACAAAGTTCTTGTAGCATCATGTGTCAGCTCGAGTCTGCTCGAATGATCTCTGAATCTGCCAACCTGAACAACCAGGCGACATCGGGGCATGGGCAGAGGAAGGCGGGGCAGGCTCAGTAAATGCCTGTTCGATGTCAATGCCATGCCCGATGGTCTCAGGGGGCCCTCCTCTTGCTGTTGCGCTAGCATTTGTAGTGGCAGAGAAGGTGTTCCTCTTGGCATCAGGAGTCCTCTGGTTTCCCCCACAGCTGGTGTTCTCAGGGCCACAGGATGATACCTCTCCTCTGCTGCAACCAGCTGCCAGCCCTGTGGCTTAAGAGTCTCTGGCTTCTTGAGGGTGGAACCCCCCCCCCCGGCTTCCCTAGATGCCTTTCAATTGAGTCATCTGCAGAGTAATATATCTTGACCCAGGCTCCATGCCGAGCACTCAACCAGTGTGTCTCAGTCCAGGAGCACCGCTGGCATGCAAGACAGCCGGACCCACAGCTGGGAGGACAGAGCAGGCACACAGCACAGTTGGACCCACAAGCCAAGAGGGCAGAGGCAAGCCCAAACGGAACACTCCTGCAACACAGCTCCACCTCCCTTAGTTCATTTAAAACGCCGAGTCAAAGCCTGAGTCAGAGTCAGTTCCCTTCTAATCATATTCAGCAAAACCTCCAGGACCGATATAAAAAGCAATGGGGAAATTGGGCAACCTTGTCTTGTCCCTTTTTCTATCCTAAATTCTTCCGTCACCACATTATTTACAATTAGTTTAGCCTTTTGTAGGAGTAGGAGCCCCCAACATCTAATTGAGGAGCTCTAACAGGTGCGTCTTACCCCAGCGCCATCTTGATTAAACTTGTTATATGCTATCATGTTATTGTTTTAGTGAAATTAATTGTTTAAATTGTTATGAAGGAAATGATTATTTTTATCCTTCCAATCTAGTACAGCACAAAAGTTGTCCAAATAGAAGCAGTTAACTTATTAAACCACACAATAATTTCATAATTATCTTTCAATGTATTTCTAATAGTTTAACCACATCAGTTAACAAACATGGATCCATATGCTACCATGTTATTGTTTTAGCGAAATAAATGGTTTAAATTGTTACAAAGGAAATTTTCAGGGAACTGCCATCAGCTCAGAGGCGAGAGGTGGAAGGGCAGTTGGGTTACAGGGAGCATCCAAAGATCGTGAGAAGCAGCACTTCCTCTGTGGAGGAGGGAAGCTACACCTCCAGTGGGGAAGGGATGCAGGGCCCTAGAAGGGATGCAGGGCTCAGAGTATGCAAGGGAGAGCCAGAGCACTGAGCCTGAAATAAGCAGGGGGGGGAGGCAGGTCCCCCTCTGCCCACGCCCTCTCTGAGCAGTAGGTTTACGCGCAGAGAGGGGAGGCGTAGGATGGGGGTCAAAGAGACTATTCTGCTGGGGAAAGTTTAAGGACCGCCCACTCCCAGATTCTGCTAGTGACTGAGCAAAACATGGAATTGAGACGTTCTGCACTGTGAATGTTTTTGCATCGATAATAAAGACTTTGAAAAGACCAGTGGGGGTCTTGCCTGTTCGCTCTCGAGCAACCACACCGGCACACATAACAGAAATGATTATTTTTCTCCTTCCAATCAAGTACAGTGGACGCTCAGGTTCTGAACGTGATCTGTGCAGGATGCACATTCGCAACCCGCAGTGTTTGCAACCCGCAGCAGCGCATCTGTGCACGCGCGGGTTGCGATTTGGTGCTTATGCGCAAAGCGCAATTTAGCGTTTTTGCGCATGCGCAACCGCTGAAACCTGGAAGTAACCCGTTCTGGTACTTCCGGATTTTGGTGGGTCCGTAACCCAAAAAAACGCAACCTGAAGCGTCTTGAACCCGAGGTATGACTGTACAGCAGAAAAGTTGTCCAAACAGAAACCGTTAACTTATTAAACCTCACCATCATTTCATCATTATCTGTCAATGTATTTCTAAGAGTAGAACCAAATCAGTCATTTTGATAGAACTGTAAAAAATTATTCCTCCAAAAAGGAAACCTTCCTCTGGTTGTCAATATGAAGAGGATGCCAGCAAGGTTGAACCTTTCTGTTAAAAAAAATGATTTAAATTACGGTAAGTCTTACTGACTAGTGATTTAAATCGGGATTTAAATTGATTGGATTTCAATCAAATCCACCCTGGTCTTTATAACTTTATAAGGCTTGAACTGGAGGTCTTCTACCTCCATTGCATGTACCGTTCCACAGAGCTATGGGAACTCCTACATCAACTCGAGGGGTTGTGCTAATTGGGCTCTTGTTCTTTACTGAATTGAAGGTGAGGATCACCTTACTCTACCTTCAGGATCTCCTCCTCCTTCTTTTTCTCCTCCTTCTTTTTATTTTTCTCCCCCTCCTCCCCCCCTCCTCTCTTTGGCGATCCCTTGTAGCCAAGTCAGATTGTCTTCCATAAACACAGTTTTAACAGTGAGTCTGCAAGTGACTGTGCAGGCCAATTCTGGATCCGCATGTCCTTCCACAGTGGGGACATTGGTTTCCAGGCGGGAGTCGATACCGGTGAGGCTTCCTTCCTCTTCACCCGTTTCTCCCTTGCGTCCTGAGTTCGAGTGTCTCCAAAGCCCAGGACACCTTTGGTCAAGGCTGTTCTCCCATTGGAGCGCTCACCGGCCAGTGTTTCCCAGTTGTCGGTGTTATACTACGTTTTTTCAGCTTTGCCTTGAAATCTGTCAACCTCTTTTGTGGACCACCAGCACGACGCTTTCCATTCTTAAATTCGGAATAGAGGAGTTGCTTTGGAAGATGATACGCAACACGACTGGTCAAAAGTTGAGGTTGAAGAATCATTGCTTCAACACTGGCAATCTTTGCTTCTTCCAGTACGCTGGCATTAGTTCGCCTGCATTCCCGAGTGATATGTAAAAATTTCCAGAGACACCTTTGATCAGGGGTGCCCAAACTTTTTTCAAATAGGGCCAGATTTGATGAAGTGAACATGCGTGAGGACCAACCAAAGTTGTTGAGCTTTTTTTAGGATTTTACCCCATGACATATATACTGCCACAGGTCCACCAAAACTTTGGTCATACCTGCCTCTGATGGAGACTTTGGAGGAGTTGGCGATGGCGTTGATAAGTGGTCCATGTTTCACAAGCATACAGTAAGGTTGGTAGTAAAATAGCTTTGTAAACGAGTGTCAAGGCTGCCTCAAGTCTTAGCTCACAAAAGACCAACGCCTATGTCTTCTTATATACAAAGGTGTTTATTGCAGTTCATGGTTTGCTTGACATCCTAGGCGCGCAGCCTTACGTCTCTTACGCTAGACCGCTGAAGTTCCCTCTGAGTCAGTCCCTCCCTGCACCAATTTAAGAGACTTGCGCTGCTCCACCGCTTTCTCTCCTTCCTTTTCCGCAGGGTCCTTCTGCCCACTGGGGTTTCGCCCCTCCTGGATTCCTCTGACGCGGAATCAGACTGCTCTTCCCCCTCCTGCGGGCTTTGGGACCTGGCCCCTCCTCCGGGCTCCCTGCACTTCCGCGCGCCTCTACATTTGAACTAGGCGCGCGCGCCAAACCTCTAACTTTCCTTTTGACAGTTACACTACTCCCTTCACTGCTCCCCTCCTCTTCCGGGAGGGCGGCTTGCTCTGACCCCCTCCTTTCTCTGCTGCTGGAGCTGCTTCCTCTGACACACTGGAAACTCCACCCCCTTCGCTGCACTCTGGTGGGGAGGCTGGTCCTGACGCCCAGCTGCCACTTTGGGATCCTCCGCTGGCACCCTGCTCCTGACACTTCCCCCCTTGGGCTCCCTGGCCTTGACCACCGGCGCCCCTTCTGGGAATCCTCTGATTCGCTGGAAAGACTCATGGAATCTCTTGAGTCATTGTCATCCTCTTCCTCGCTGGCTTGGAATTCCTCCCCATCGCTCTCCATCTCCTGCCTACCCTGTGCCTCTCTCCCTGAACCCCTGACAACGAGCATTTTGGTTTCCCTCCAAATGTATTGACCCTGAATTTCTGGCACTACTGGGGGTCCGATCTCATGGGAGGCACAAACAAACACATATATAATGTTTTTATTGGTTTCTGCACTTGTTTTCCAAACATAACATCCCATCTGATACAAAATAGCTAACTTTTGGCTTTCACTGCCTAGGCAGGAAACAGGACTTAATACAGGGAACGCTTTTCAGAGGATAAGGCGGTTGCGCCGACAACTGGCTCCATTCATTCCGACCCCTTCTTTTTCCAGATGCAAGTAGCAAAACCGCTCCGGCGACCACAACAGCTGAAGACGCAGCGAGGATCTTGGCCGAGAAGCACCATCTTGCGAGGGAGCAGAGGGAGCACGAAGACCAGGAGAGAGCTCAAAGAGAAGAGGAGGAAAGGTACTGTATTTTAAAATATTTATAATAATTTTTATTGGTTTTTCCAAATATTTTCCATTGAAACATCCATCTATTATACAAAATATAAAACCATTTGGCTATTTCAGCCTAAGACTTCCCTCCTCCTCGACTAATGGTTTTCCAAATTAATCTCTAATATATATATATTTATAATTATAATTTTATTGGTTTTTCAAAATTTTCCATCATAACAACTTTCCTATAAATTAAATATAGAAACGTTTGTCTGATAAGCCTAGAACTTCCCTCCTTGACTAATGACCGCTCCCCGCTTAAAACGGGGGGCGCCCTTTGCATGGACGCGCACAGCCCCTAGATCTGGAGTGGCTCCAACAGCATAGGCTTGGCTTGCCTTCCCTCAGGTGGGATACCTGGAGGTCTCCGCCTACCTCAGTCAGTTGTCCAATCCCACCTGGGGGAAGCGTTGCCAAGGAGACCAGGCCAGGTATGGGAGGGATTACCTGCACACACAATAGAGGGAGGATCTTACCTGGGAATCCTCACTTGGCTCCAGAGCTTCTCCCCCCTACCCACCCTCAGTTAATGTCTTATTTTGCAGGTTAACTTTTCTTCACAGGTTTTGCAGGTTAACTTTTCTTCACAGGTATGCGGGCGTTGCTACGTCAAGGTTGCTGTTAAAGGGCCGGAAAGGAATTTCCCTGCATTGGCAGGTTTCGCCTTTCCCGTAGCAAAACGTCACAACTTTGGCGGTATCAGGCCTTGGGCGGAATCCTTTAGTCCATCTTCCTCTTTGCGGCGGCGATACCAGGGTTCCCCGTTAAAGGGGTTTCTGAAGGGAGGCTTTGACCGTACGCCGAAAGGTCATCATTGCTCTCCCCTGCAGCGGCGGCGTAACAGGGGCGGCTATCTCTGCTTGAACATATGTTCTCCAGAGCCGGCCCATCCCCCCCCCCACACTGGATAACCCTGATGCTCCCTAGGTCCCCGGCTGGGGACTGGGGAGGGAGAACGCCCAATGCCTGAGCCAAGGTCTACCCACATTTGAAATTTAATAAAGTTGTGGCCAATTTAATCCCATAGCATGTTGTCTTGAGTCGTTATTCCACATGACGGGGGGGGGGGGACCGCTCGGGATCTGGGGACTCCGCCTGTCCACGCAATGGTTTTCCAACTCAATCTCTGGTATGCATTTTGTTCTTATTAATATTACTGTTAAATCATAATCTTAAAAAACAATTTGTGAATTGCATTAAGTAATAAATGATAATTTAACCTACAAAGCTTCTTGTAACCCTACTAGTGATGTCAATTGTTTACAGTTGTCTTTTAAATACAACATAAATTTATTCCAGTCTTTCAAGAAATTCTGGTCCTGCCAGTTCCGAATTTTCCCAGTCAATTTCACCAATTCAGCATAGTCCATTAATTTCATCTGCCTCTCTTCTTTCGTTGGGATCTCTTCTTGCTTTCATCGTTAGGCTAGTAATATTCTTGCTGTGGTTGTAGCATCTAAAAACAATGTTTTATCTTGTCTAGGTATGAAAGGTATTGTATTTTTCCCTGTATAAGACTATATTCCCCTCCCCAAGCTTAAAATGGGGGGGGGGGGTTTGTCCTATACATGGAATGTTGCCATTATTTCTTTCTTTATTTTGGGCTCAAAAAAGAGGGGTCATCTTATACATGGGGGCGTCTTATACATGGGGAAATGCGGTAAATCAATAAGGGGCAGTCATTCAATCCATCCGTAATATTAGCTATTCTGCTTTCATATTGCCATTCCGTTGCTGTTAAGTTGTGAATAGCGTGTCTAAAAACGTAAATACCTCTGGTCATCTGTGCTTTTGGTGACTAAGGTGGGCTGCCTTGGAAAGTCAGAAGGACACCCAGTGCCGGATTTACGTATAAGCTCAACAAGCTCTAGTTTAGGGCCCCACTCTCTTGGAGGCCCCCAAAAAATTTTAAAAGGGGAAAAAACCTCTGGATGTACATTTCCAAAATAGAAGATAAAAAACAAATAAAATAAAACTGACCTACAGCAACAGTGTTTTGTGTTGTGTAGGCTCCTATTTGTTATGTGCAAATGGCTTTAGAGACCTATTAGGTCCCTAAATTACCATATAGTAGGAGTCAGCAAACTTTTTCAGCAGGGGGCCGGTCCACTGTCCCTCTGACCTTGTGGGGGGCCAGACTATATTTTCCAATGGATCTTAATTTTCATTTTAGGTTTCTTAAGTGCATGCCAAGCTCCATTTTAAAATCTATACACCAGTCAAGTGTGTTGGGACCTCTTACTGCAATAATCCCCAATGGTGGACGAAAACCTTCATGTTGTTTCATCTTGGGGGCGTTTTAGTGATTCCTGCCCCTACTTGATAATAATAATGATGATGATAATTTATTATTTCTACCCCGCCCATCTGGCCGGGTTTCCCCAGCCACTCTGGGCGGCTTCTGACAGGAGATTAAAAATACATTTACTATTATTATTATTATTATTATTATTATTATTATTATTACAAGCAATCCTCAGGTTAATAATAATAATAATAATAATAATAATAAATTTTATTTATATCCCGCCCTCCCCAGCCAAAGCCAGGCTCAGGGCGGCTAACAACAATCAAATAATCAAACAATCAAATAATCCAACATTCTAAAACATTTCATTATAAAAATTAATTAAAATCAAATTAATGGCAACCGTTAAGCAAAGTTCTGTGCAGGTTGCCAGAGGAGGGAGTCAGGCTGGGCCCTGACCAAAGGCCTGGTGGAACAGCTCTGTCTTACAGGCCCTGCGGAAAGATGTCAGGTCCTGCAGGGCCCTAGTCTCTTGTGACAGAGCGTTCCACCAGATTGGAGCCGCAGCCGAGAAAGCCCTGGCTCTAGTTGAGGCCAGCCTAACCTCTCTGAGGCCTGGGACCTTCAGGATGTTTTTATTTGCAGACCGTAGGTTCCTCTGTGGGGCATACCAGGAGAGGCGGTCCCGTAGGGTACGAGGGTCCTAGGCCGTATAGGGCTTTAAAGGTTAAAACCAGCACCTTAAACCTGATCCTGTACTCCACCGGGAGCCAGTGCAGCTGGTATAGTACCGGATGAATGTGATCTCGCAGCGAAGACCCCATAAGGAGTCTCGCCGCGGCATTCTGCACCCGCTGGAGTTTCTGGGTCAGTCTCAAGGGCAGCCCCACGTAGAGCGAGTTACAATAATCCAGTCTGGAGGTGACCGTCGCGTGGATCACAGTGGCTAGGTCAGGGCGAGAGAGATAAGGGGCCAACTGCTTAGCTTGGCGGAGATGAAAAATGCCACCTTTGTTATAGCTGTAATCTGCGCCTCCATAGAAAGGAGGTATCGAAGATTACACCCAAACTCTTAACGGACGGTGCTGGCACTAATTGCACCCCGCAAGAGATGGGAGTTGCCCCCAATCCCATATCGTCCCGTCCCAGCCAGAGGACCTCTGTCTTCGAAGGATTTAACTTCAACCGGCTTCCACGTAACCATCCAGCCACAGCTTCCAAACATCTGGTCAGTGTGTCTGGGGCCGAGTCAGGATGGCCATCCATCAACAGATAGAGTTGGGTGTCATCGGCATACTGATGGCAACCCAGCCCAAAACTCCGGACAAGCTGGGCGAGGGGGCGCATAAAGATGTTAAAAAGCATAAAGATGTTAAAAATAAAATTCAAAATACTAACTGACACAAAGGATAGAGGTGGATTTGCCCTGCCAGACCTCAGACTCTATTATGAATCAGCAGCATTCTGCTGGTTGAAATAATGGCTGCTTCTTGAAAACACAGACATTTTGGATTTAGAAGGTTTCAACAATGTTTTTGGGTGGCATGCATATTTGTGGTATGACAAGGTTAAAGCACATAAAGCATTTAAAAACCATATTGTCAGAAAAGCATTGTCAAATGTCTGGATAAGATACAAGGACTTATTGAAAAACAAAACCCCTAGGTGGTTGTCACCGATGGAAGCAAAGGCTCAGAAAAGGCTCAATATGGAGGCCAAATGGCCGAAATATTGGGAAATCTTGGAACAAGATGGAGATAGATTGAAACTGCAGAGTTTTGAAAAACTAAAAAACAAAGTGCGAGACTGGCTTCATTATTATCAGATAATGGAGGCATATAATTTGGATAAGAGAATTGGCTTCCAGGTGGAAAAGTCAAAATTAGGACTTCCGGGTTGGCGCCATCGCCGAATGGCGGACTCCCTCCGAGCTCCGGAGGGAGTCTGCTCGGCAGGGGCTGGGTCCTACCGCGCCGGCGACGCGGGGACCCTTCAAAACCACGGGCACGGAGTCCGTGGACATGGGTGACTCGGCTTGCACCATTAGCGCCCTCCCGACTCGTGAAGGAGCCTTTTTAAAGGCTTCGGATCGGGTGCCGGGGAGCGGCGTGGTGCTTGAGTCCTCTGCTTTCCCTGCCGAGCGCAGCCGCATGCCATTCGACGGAGAGCGCTGACTTCTTCCATTGAAAATTTGGACTATTAACAACAACCCGTGAGTAATTGGGAAACCGGGTTCAAAATTTCGGATTTGGCACGAGCGGGGCGATTTAAAAGGAAGTCAATCGCCCCCGCTACTGTAAGCATTCCAAAACAAGGACTGGGTAACCAAGGTCCAAAGGGAAGTATATTCTTGATAAAAACCATTAATTTCACGATGGGAAATTATAAGAACTGTGCTGGAGGAGAAGAGTGGAGGGTGAGAAGAAAATGCAACCCCCCTGGGAACCGGGCGATTTGTGGAGCCTGGTGAAGAGAGACGGAGACTTTGACAGCTGTCAAAGTGGCTGTCAAAGTTGGAGAATATAAAGAGGACTTTGTTATGAGGACTTTGCCGGTTAATTTTGCTACAATTTGCTACAATATGGATATAAACTGTTGGAAAATAAGCAACAATTTGACTTTTGGATTAGAGGATACAAAGTTATTACAATCCCCTAGAGGGGTTTCGGGATATTACAAGAACGGTCGTAAGTGGAAAAATACTCTGGGATTCGCACAGGACTTGTTATCTTTTGGGAAAGCTGCAAAACTGAAATAGTATTTTGTCTACAGAGGTATTTACATTAAAGGAGACAATAGAATTTTCTATTGAAGAAAGGAAGGGACTGGACGTAAGTTTTTGTTCCTGAATAACAAACCTCTGCAGAGATACCAGATTTCTGAATTAGAAAGTTTTAGCAGCTGAACAGGACAAGAAACCTGAGAAAGTGAGGAAAAGAAGAACAAAGGACTGATTACGACACGGAAAGAACAACGGGAGGAGTGGTAAAGATCAAGGAAATTAAAGGCCTTTGTTAGATTGGACACTTGAAGTTACATATTATTAATAAATTAAAAGAAAACCGGCAAGATGGAATCGGGAGAAATTTGGTCATGAATTGAGACTTCCAAGCTGATAATGCATAGACTGATGGATATGGGGAATTCAAACCGGGAAGGGGGGAGATTTGAAATCCAAAGGCTGTGTAACCATCTTTTGAATTTTTCTATATCTTTTATTTTTATTTTTTTACATAACTTACGCATGTCATTTTATTTTGATTGGACGTGTTTAAAAAAGGGAATTCGTGGAAGGAACTGGGGTGGATCTTGGGGAAAATCTTTTTTCTTTTCTTGTTAATGATGTGGGACGGTGGTAAGATTTGTACAATTCAATTTGGATAGTGGGTTAAACAAATTAAGCTTCAAATTGGGAGTGAGAGCTTGTAGAACTAAATTAAGGAAAGGGGAATACAGTCGGGGGGGGGGGGAGGGGGGGAGTCCCAGAAAGTAGGCAATGAAAGTAAGGTTTTTAAATATCTTTTTTTCTTTTTATTTTTTTCTTTGTATTTTTATATTTTTGGAAACTTTAATAAATATGATTTAAAAAAAAAAAAAAAAAAGTCAAAATTAGAAACAGAACTATTAGAACCCAAAAGTAAGAATTTGTCAAGAATGTATAACTTGCTGTTGAAATGGAATACTCAGGATGAAACGGTGAAATCTGCTGTGATTAAATGGGCACAAGATGTTGGACATAATATTATGTTTGCTGACTGGGAACAGTTATGGACCACAGGTATGAAGTTTACGGCATGTAATGCCTTAAGAGAGAATATTATGAAAATGATATACAGGTGGCACATGACCCCAGTCAAGCTTGCAAAAATCTATCATTTGCCCGATAATAAATGCTGGAAATGTAAAGAAACTGAAGGTACATTCTTTCACCTTTGGTGGACGTGCCCAAAGGTTAAGGCTTTCTGGGAAATGATATATAATGAATTGAAAAAGGTATTTAAATATACCTTCCTGAAGAAACCAGAGGCCTTTCTTTTGGGCATTGTCGGCCAATTGGTGCCAAAGAAGGACAGAACTTTTTTTATGTATGCTACAACAGCAGCAAGAATACTCACTGCAAAGTACTGGAAGACACAAGACCTACCCACTCTGGAAGAATGGCAGATGAAGGTGATTGACTATATGGAATTGGCAGAAATGACTGGCAGAATCCGAGACCAGGGAGAAGAGTCGGTGAAAGAGGACTGGAAGAAATTTAAAGACTATTTACAGAAATATTGTAAAATTAATGAATTTTAGAAGGATGTTGGATAGAAACTAAGTGGTTTCTAGCTGTAATGCTTTAAGAGATATGAAAAAAAAGATCTACAAATGGGTAAAAGCTTAATGGTAAGGATTTGCTGAACTAACAAATTGAAATGGAATACAAAGAAGGGAGGCATGAGGAGGTTCGGGGAAATAAGGGTAAGGAGGATATGTTAGGGGAAATTAATCTGTTTTTAATTGTTTTTATTTTGTATGTTTCTTTTTCTTTTTCAGGTATTTTTTTTTCTGTACTTTGTATTTTCTTGTATTTTTATTTTTTGTTTTTACGTAATTTTTGTATTCTTTGAAATGTTAATAAATATCATTAAAAAAAAAAAAGCATCGGGGAGAGTATTGCACCCTGAGGCACTCCACACACCAAGGAGTGGCGCGATGACAATTCCCCCCCAAGCGCCACCCTCTGTCCCCGACCAGAGAGAAATGAGTGCAGCCATTGAAGGACTGTGCCCTGGATCCCCATGTCGGCAAGGCGGTGGTCCAGGAGTTCGTGATCGACCATGTCGAAGGCTGCTGACAGGTCTAGAAGAATCAGCAGCTCCGACCTGCCTTGATCCAGCTGCCTGCGGAGATCATCTGTTAGGGCGACCAGAGCCCTCTCGGTCCCATGACCAGCGCGGAAGCCGGACTGGAATGGATCCAGAGCCGATCCATTAACACATCAGCCATTAGAAACTTCCCTAAGCAGGGCTGCAAAGTAGGTGTTGAGCGGTTCCAACTTCTCTTGGTCACCCAATAGCTTCTCTCTGCTACTCAACGATTCCATAAAATCTGATTAATCTAGTTGTGCTGAATCTTCTTTCAGCATTAGAGTTTCAACTTCAGAAAATGTTTAACAGCTAAAGTATAAGCAATATAAAGTATAAACAAAATATTAAACTTTTAAAAATTGGGAAAAGATACAGTCTTATACACGGAAAAATACAGTATTCTGGCCACCTCCCTCTTGCAGTCTTTTGAGACTTCAACTGACAGCTTTAATAATAATAATAATAATAATAATAATAATAATAGTAATTATTTATTATGTCTACCCCTCCATCTGGCCGGGTTTCCCCAGCTACTCTGGGCGGCTCCCAACAGAATTAAAAGCACAATAAAACACTAAAAACTTCCCTAAACAGGGCTGCCTTCAGATGTCTTCTAAAAGTCAGTTGTTTATTTCCTTGACATCTGACAGGAGGGCGTTCCACAGGGCGGGCGCCACTACTGAGAAGGCCCTCTGCCTGGTTTCCTGTAACTTGGCTTCTCGCAGGGAGGGAAGCACCAGAAGGGACCCCGGCATCAGGGGTGGAGATGCTCTTTCAGGTCTACTGGGCCGAGGCCATTGAGGGCTTTCAAGGTCCGCACCAACCCTTTAAATTGTGCTTAAAAATGTCCTGGGAGCCAATGTAGGTCTTTCAGGACCAGTGTTACATGGTATCAGCCAGACTTGATTTAAAGCCTTTATTTTACAGAAAGGTTCAACCTTGCTGGCATCCTCAATATTAACAACCAGAGGAAAGTTTCCTCTACTGGGCCCTTGAGGGCTTTCAAGGTTTGCACCAACACTTTGAATTGTGCCCGGAAATGTTCCGGCAGCCAATGCAGGTCTTTCAGGACCGGTGTTATGTGGTTTCAGTGGCTGCTCCCAGTCCCCAGTCTAGACTTCCTCAACATCGGCCCTCCAGCTGTTTTGGGACTACAACTCTCATGATCCCTAGCTAACAGGACCAGTGGTCAGGGACGATGGGAATTGTAGTCCCAAAACATCTGGAGGGCCAAGTTTGCCTATGCCTGCTCTAACACGGGGGGGGGGGGGCCTGCAGCCTGTGGGTCATATCTAGTTGACCAAGACGTCCAATATCTGTCATGGGGGGTGGGGGTGGAGAACGCCACATCTGCTACACGATGCAGGATTAATAATAATCAATAATAATTAATAATAATTAATAATAATTAATAATAATAATTTACTATTTCTACCCCATCCATCTGGCTGAGCCTCAGCCCCAAAAAGATTAGCCCCCCCCAACTCTTAGCAGCTTAATAGTAGGTATGGG